CATTATGGAAATGATTACAGTTGAAATATTAAACGAGACTTCCAAAAATATAATGATAAGTTGTGTATATCGATCACCTGATTCAAATATTGAATCATTCACCAATCACATCATGACAATATTGGAAAAAAGTTCTAATAAATCAGTTTTTTTGTGTGGAGATTTTAATATAGACCTGGGAAATAAAACAGACTCAAATAATATCGGAACATTTATAAACTCAATGCACAGTTTAAATCTTTATCCTTTGATTTCAAAACCCACAAGAATTACTGCCCATAGTGCTTCAATAATTGACAACATTTTTACAAATATAACAAATAAAGAACTTATGGGTGGCATTTTGATCACGGATGTCAGTGACCACCTACCAGTCTTTACTATCTATAAAAAAGATCAATATGATGTGAAAGTAGATAAAATTATGAAAAAAATAGTAAACACATCAAAGAAAGCTCTAGATAAACTAAAAGAAGATTTAACAAAACAAAATTGGAAGGATGTATATGTTGATGATGTAAACAAAGCATTTGATGTATTTATGAATATTTTAGGAGCTTTGTATGAAAAAAATTGTGTACAAGAAAATGACACAAAGAAACGTGTTGATGACAAACCGTGGATGACCAAAGGATTAAGAAATGCTTGTAAAAAAAATAACTACTTATACTCAAACTTTCTGAAATTAAGAACAAACGAAGCAGAACAGAGATATAAAAATTATAAAAATAAATTGGTAGGGATTATAAGAAAGCATAAAAAGAAATATTACAGTGAATTATTAGACCAAAGTAATGGAAATATGAGGGCAACATGGCAAATAATGAACAGTGTTCTGAATAATCATAAAACAAAATCGAGCATTCCACAATATTTTGTAAAAGATGACAAAGACATTTATGACCAAAATGAACTCGCTAATGGATTCAATGAACATTTTGTGAATATTGGCCCAAGTCTGGCAGCAAAAATCCCAAATATAGATAAAAATGTAAACCATACGGTTACAGATCACACAAACAGTTTTTTTCTTGGGGGAACTGATAAAGAAGAAATTATGACTATCGTAAAACATCTTGCAGATAAAAAATCAAAAGACTGGATGGACATGGATATGATGCTGGTAAAGAATATTATGAGTTATGTTATTGAGCCATTTACATATATGTGCAATTTATCATTTTCAACAGGGGTATTTCCTAATAACATGAAAACAGCCAAGGTAATACCATTATATAAGAGTGGAGAGAAACGTGTGTTTAATAATTACAGGCCAATATCGTTGTTGCCACAGTTTTCGAAGATTTTAGAGAAATTATTTGTCACTAGATTAGATGAATTTATCAATAAGCAAAATATATTAAGTAATAGTCAATATGGGTTTAGACCTAAAAATTCTACGTCAATGGCACTCGTGGATTTAATGGAACAGATAACGACTGCTGTGGATCAAAAAAAAAATATTGTATTAGTATTTATGTTGATCTAAAGAAAGCATTTGATACTATTGATCACAATATTCTTCTCAAAAAACTAAATAAATATGGTATTAGAGGGCATGCATTGCAGTGGGTATCTAGTTATCTAGAAAAAAGGAAACAATTTGTTCAAATAAATGATGTAAAATCTGAATTCTGTAATATTACATGTGGAGTGCCTCAAGGCTCTATACTTGGACCTAAGCTATTTATTTTATATGTGAATGACCTGGTAAATGTGACTGGATTTTTTAAATGTATTTTGTTTGCAGATGATACTACTTTTCTTTGTGTGGGTGAAAATGTTGTGCAAATGCTGAAGATGGGACAAACAGAATTTGTGAAAATACAAAATTGGTTTCAACTAAACAAATTATCTTTAAATGTAGATAAAACAAATTATATGATTTTTAGTAATAACAAGAAAGTGCTTGATACTCCATTTAGAGTCGATGGAATTGAAATTAATAGAGTCAATGAGGTGAAATTTCTGGATGTCATCATTGATGAAAAACTAACATGGAGATCTCACGTAAAAACCTTAAGAACTAAAATAGCTAAATCGACTGCAGTAATGTACAAAGTTAGAGAGTTATTCAATGATAAAGCAATGTTTCTATTGTATAATGCCATTATTGTTCCACATTTAATTTACTGTATTGAAGTCTGGGGTAAAGCATGTAAAACAATTACAAATCCTATTTTTATTTTACAGAAAAGAGCCATAAGAATTATTACCAGAAAAGATTATAACCATCCGTCAAATATATTGTTTCATCAGCTAAAGATATTAAAATTTTATGACTTGGTTGATTACAATATCTTAGTGTTTATGTATGGGGCCAACAAAAACATACTAGCTACTAACATTCAAGGGAAATTTGTTAAAAGAGAAAGTAATTATTATCTTAAGGGGATGGAGATGTTTGTGAAGCCGTGGTGTCGCACCAGTCTGAAGATGTGATCCACTAGATCTCAGGGTATTAGATTGTGGAATGATCTGGAGGTTGATATTAAAAATGCCAAAACTATGTACATATTCAAGAAGATGATAAAAATGTGTTTTTAAAAAAAATATTAAGTATAATGTGAGTTCATAAAAATTGTTTACAGTTGATCTTATATTTTAGCTAAGTTTTTATTTTATTATTATTATTTTTTTAATTAATTCATCTAGCTTTTGTATAGTAATTTTGTTTGGAATATATTTTGGGGACAAGGGGCAGATATTATAAGAACTCATTCTTCTTCTGCTGCCTTTCATTTTATTTCTGTGATTGTATATCTTTTTTCTTTTCTTTAAATTGTATTATATTTGTTGTTTGGATGAAATGAAATGAATAAATAAAACATACATACACCTGGACCTATATCTGGACCTGGACCTATATCTGGACCTGGACCTATATCTGGACCTGGACCTATATCTGGACCTATATCTGGACCTATATCTGGACCTGGACCTATATCTGGACCTGGACCTATATCTGGACCTGGACCTATACCTGGACCTGTACCTGGACCTATACCTGGACCTATATCTGGACCTGGACCTATATCTGGACCTGGGCCTATACCTGGACCTATATCTGGACCTGGACCTATATCTGGACCTGGGCCTATACCTGGACCTATATCTGGACCTGGACCTATACCTGGACCTATACCTGGACCTATATCTGGACCTACCATTCTGTGTTGGTCTGTCTCTCCTTCCTGTCCTCTCAACCAGCCGGTCAAAGCAGACGGTCTCTTGTCCTGAGTCTGGTTCTGCTGGAGGTTTCTTCCTGTTAAAGGGAGTTTTTCTTTCCACTGTCTCCACTGTGCTTGCTCAGGATGGGAGACTGCAACGAAGCCAAGATTCAACTTGTCTGCTGGATTCCTTAGATAGAGAACTTTACTAATTGTCTTTTATGTGAATGTTCCTGTAAAGTGCCCTGAGACAACTTTGTTGTGATTTGGCGCTTTATAAATAAACTGAATTGAATTGAATTGAATTGAATTGAATTGAATAGCTAATGAAAGAAGAGAACGAAAGAGAAAGAAGAGTAGAGGTCATAAAAACTGTGGACCAGGAAGTGGGAATGATTAGTGAGGGCGAAGTCCAGAAAGCTCTGAAAAGAATGAAGAAGGGGAAGGCAGGACCTGATTTACCAGGAGGTTTGGAAATGTCTTGAGATGGCAGTGAGGTTTTAACTCAAATATTCAATGGCAAATATGAAGGTGAGAAAATGCCTCAGGAATGGAGAAGAAGTGCTGGTGGCCATTTTTAAGAACAAGGTGATGTACAGAGTTGTAGCAACTACAGGGGAATTAAGTTGATGAGTCACATGATGAAGATCTGGGAGAGAGTTGTGGAAACTAGACTCAGACGAGAGGAGACTCTCTGTGAGCTGCAGGATGGGTTCATGTCAAGAAAGAGAAAGAGCTCCACAGATGCATCTTTGCTTTGAGGATGTTGATGGAGAAGAACAGAGAGGGTCAGAAAGAACTCCATTGTGTCTTTGTGGATTTAGAAAAAGCATCTGACAGAGTGCCGAGGGAGGAAAAGAAGAAGACTTTTTATTTATTTAAGAGGTATAATCATTTGAAAAGACTCTTCCTGTTTTGATGAGAATATTTGAGTTAAACTCTAATAGAAGTATGAAGGTGGGCTGTGCATTCTTTGCTTTCTGTGAGGATTTTAGGGAAAACTAACTCCTACAGCAGCAAGAGACCCATTGGGTAAAAAATAAAACTTAAAAACTTGTGTTTTGGACTACAGTATTATTTGTAAATTTACCAAAAAGTTGCAAGAATAATCGATGCTTGTAATCGATTATGTTTTTCTTTTATTTATTTGTTTGTTTTGCTTAGAATAGTTGGTATTAGTTATTTTAGTTAAAATATCAAATTTGGCGGCTCAACTTTAAGTTAAAGACAATGTTTATTTATGTTTATTTTAATTACAAAATAAAGATAAACAAGTAAAACTTAAATGCAAGCTTTTTAAGTTCCAGTCCACACACATACAACTCATTATTATTTCTTGTAACATGCATTTAAAGTAAAAAATCATTTGTCAAGCTCTGTTTAATGGTTTTACAGATGTTCCCCTCACATTTGAAACAATATTATAAATCCATTGCAATAAAAACACTTGACAGTTTGGAAAAATTGCTTATTTTTAATGTGCTGCAATGATAACACATGTAAGTATTTAAAAATGAAAAGAAAGTGAAATGTGTCTGGTCAGATTGAAGCTCAGAAACATAAGGAAGGGGCATTAGTTAGCACAGTCTAAACATATCACTACAAACCTGGAGACTTTAGCTCATAGTTTTCACCCACCAAAGGAAATGGTCATGATTGAAACCACTGGATCCACTGGCTCTCCGACTCTTTTCAGTGAACTCTTATATGAGGACTAATTTAATTTGACATGTTGAGGAATGGTTCCCTGCTCATGTGAACTCGTGTGTCAGGATCTTGGACCAACTGTCCGTGTCGTGGAACAGATGTGCTCCGTGGAAATCTACTCACCCTCATTTTGAAGGTGGTGAGCTTCTTTGTGTTGATGACTCTTTCATCGATGGTGTCCGGTTGAGACAAGTTGATCATTTTACTGAAACACAGAAGGACTGGGGTGAAATGTTAGTTGAGTTTTTGATTTGAAGGCAGGATTTACCATGTGACCTTCATTTTGTGGTGTGCCTCTGTGTGACTTGACCAGACCAGAGCCTGGAGCGCACATGAACTATAAAACACCATCACACTAATCCTGCTTCGACCTTTCATATGACATGAAAGACCTCAACAGGCAGATGAACTCAGAGTTGTTTGCTTCATACCAGTCACTCTGTTCTTAAACAAGTTTGGAGTGAACTCACCTTAACACAGAAAGCTTCGGTGTAATCAAGAGCACGCCAGTGTCCCCATCGCTCACGGGTTTGAACAGTGAATGTTTGTCGTTTAGGAATAGAGGTAGATTTGTTTGTTTGTTTGTTTGTTGTTGTTTTGCTTGTCAGAGGCAGCCAGAGTGACGGATCCTGGCACGTGAAGGGAGGAATTTTATCCACCACGAGGCGCAATGGCAGAGCCAATGGGTGGCAAATGGTGGCCTTGGCCACCCCAGGTTAATCTTGGCCACCCCAAACATTTGAGAAAACTATAAAATAAAAACTAGAAAGCATAGTTTCCTCAAATGATAGGGATGTCCAGTTTACACACACACACACACACACACACACATATATACACAGTATATGTATAGGCCTATATGTATATATATTTTTCTAATATACCAGTACACATATGGCAACAGCCATCTTAGACTTTGACGTGGCAACCCAATTTTTGATAGACCTTTCTTCAATCTAGATGCAACCACACACCGAAGGTGAAGCTTGCACATTTCTTATAGTTATCAAGGTACAAGGTTTACATATTTACATATATGGCAACAACCATCTTGGATTTTGATCTGGCAACCCAATTTTAGAAAGGCAATTTTCTTTTGCCTAGATGTAGCCACACACCAAAATTGAAGTCGGTGCCTCACTTATTTCTCAAGTAATCGTGCTCACAACATTTATGGATGCACAGACGGAGAGTATTTCCATACTTGTCGATAAGTCTCGCCACCTAACTTTAACCTTATTTTGTGTCCAGTCAGTGCCATTTTGTACCCATCATTTGAGGTTTTGTACCACTTGGGTAAAAAGTAGTTACTTCTTCATACCCATAAACTTAAATGATAATTTCAAAGTTCATGCTCAATAATCCAGGTAAAAAAAATCCAGTAGAGTAAAATCAGGTCCTCTGGATGGTTTCTTTTTATTGAAACATTTCATCTTTCATCAAAAGGACTTCATCAGTCCAAGGAGCCACAACAAGCTCAGTCTTATAAATAGCACCTTCACATAGTGGGTCAGCCAGTTTTTTATTACCGTATTATTGAGGATTATTGAGCATGAACTTTGATGTTTTGAACCACTTTGGCCATGACTTCATCAAATGAGTTGGCGGGGGAGAGGGTGGACTCCAGAAACCATCTTATCACCTTGAAACTAGTGGACCCACTTTTGTTTTTCTCTCTGTTCTCTCGGTGGAAGCAGACATGTCCTCTTCTGCTCCCTCGTCTTGTGAACCCTTAAAGAGCCTCTTTTTTCCTGCATACCTTCCTAAATCGAAGGATTTGATCAGCTGGTCTCTCAACGAAATTGATCAACTTATCCCGACAGGAAGTCAGGGTGAATAGAGGACCCTCTTACCTCAATGGAAACAAAATTGGATTAATGATGACAACTGGATTCTGCTGTTTGAGTTGGTGAAATCTGGATTGTCTAGAAATTTGTGTGGATGTGTCGAAGCTTGGCAGCACTCAGACTGAATTATGTGGAGCTGTGTCAGGAGCAGGCAGGACTGTGAACTTTCTGGCAGCACTCATGAACGGTGGGAATAATCTTGCAGAAGCTGTGAGCTCGACTTTCAGCGTAAGGATTCAATTTGGCTGTTTGGAGTCACTATCAGAGAAATGTACTAGTGAGACTTTAAAAGGCAGAAACAGCAATTTATGAGTTCTGCCTGACCCAAACTGTGGCCTTGATGGCGGGCTTATCTCAAATCCTCCTGGCAGGTTTAGAAAAAACAAAGATGCTTTGACTGTTTCCTCACCCCTCCCTTCCCCAAGGCCGTGGACATGTGACAGAACCTCACCTGAGCTGAAGATGAACGTCACCGCTCATCTGGACAATGCTGTGGTAGGTTTCTTTGATGGACACGGCGTGAGAGATTTTTTTTAAACCGTCTCTCCTCATGTTTTCTTCTCTTTTCTCATCTAAGCAAAATATTGTTCTGATTAAGAATAAGAGGGCTGCGCTAATTAGCAGCAGCTTTGTGCACTCCGTCCATCTTTTGGACGACTGTACGTACATGTTCTTGTTGTATCTCGGTGCAATGACAATAAAGTTTATTCTGATTCTGAAGGTGCTGTTTATAAGACTGAGTTTGTTGTGGCTCCTCGGACTGAAGAAGTCTTTTGTTGAGAGACGAAATGTTTCAACAAAAAGAAACCATCCAGAGGACCTGATTTAACTGATAATGATAATTACTGATAATGATTATAATGATGATTATTAATTATTATTATGCATGTTTCCCTATAACCCTGTATGCACTTGTGCATGCAGAGGCACCAGCTACCAACACGTCCATACAGGGTCAAGTTGTTAAAAACTGCAAATGGTTACACTGATACTCTGCTCCGTGCACACATGTAGTTGTTTAGTTGTGCTGTGTACGGGCATGCCAGGCCACGATGGTAGAATGCAGTTACAACAGCAGGTTTAGCTGATTTAAGTGTTGTTTTTCTAATTTGGGCTAATATTTAGGTTGTTTTTGATTTAGTTACATTTGCTAATTTTAGCATCTGCAGATTTTACCTACTGTTTTGTTGCGTTCAGCTACTGTTCTGCTACTTTTAGCAACTGATCTACAACTTGAGTTTGCAGCTTGTGTTCTTTTGCTTTTACCTTGAAGGTTGACGCTCACATTAGCTTGAGTTCTGCTCATTTTCACTCTGTTCAGCTTGTATTCGTTTTAACAACGGTTTTAGCTTATTTAGCAAACTTTAGTTATTTAGCACTCAGCATTTACTTTGCAGTTTTATTGAAAATGCAGTTTCTCTAGTTGGATGTGATTTATTGATAAACTGAACAGTTTTCTGGAACGAAGGGGAAGTCTGAGCTTGTCATCATGTATGTTCCCATGCAATGGAGAGAGTAGTTCTCTGCATTTAACCATCACACCTGAAAGACACGGTGGTGCAGTGGGCAGATACGCAAGTGCCCGGAGAGCAACTGGGGATTTTGGTATGTGTTTTGCTCAGAGACACCACGTCATGTGGGAATGGCTGGGAGTTGAACCGCAGCTTTCTGGTCCCTGTTCGGCTGCTCTGCCTCTACCCCACCTCGGCATCTCGGCCCCCATCTTTAAACACATTCCCCCCAAATAAAACAACCACATGTGCATGAAGCTGAAAATAAAGCTGATCTTGTGTGCATAAAAATGCATGTGCACACACTCTACAATCTCAGCTTGTGTGTGTGTTAGGTTGCTTCTGCGTGCATGTGCATGTCTGATACCATAAGAGGATGCCATCACGGAGGGAGGAGAAGAGGCTCTCATTGTTGGGGTTCACAGGCAGGAGATGGTGGCAGTCAGGGTCTTTGGCCAAAGCTTTGTTGATCCATTTTGCAAAAGCTACTTTCTCTTCATCTGAAAAGAGCAAAGCTATAGTCACTGGTTCTGTCTACATGGTGGGAGTGGTTTACTTTGACAAAGCTACTTTTAAAGCTACTTCCATGAAATCATTAGATTGTGTGTCGTTTCTCACCAGAGTAGGAGTGCTGTGTTCCCTCACAGGAGACTCCTGACGTGCCTCCGAAGGAGCAGATCCCATCCTTCCTGGAGAGGACTTTTTTGAACGTCTCGCTGAACTCCTTACTCTTCAGCTCTTGGTAAATCTGACCACAAACAGACTGGGTCAGCACACAACACAAGCTGTGCTGGTTCACGTCTTATAATCCCTCAATCAAGACTTACTGATACAAACTCATCAAAGCTGATCTTCTCATCTTTGTTTGTGTCTCCAGCAATGAAGGTCTCAACGATTTCTCTCACTTTGTAGCCGGGCAGATGCAGGCTTGCTTCTCTGAACAGTTCCTGAAGCTCAAAGTCGCTCACATAACCACTGTTGTCAATGTCTGCAGAAAGAAACAGACATGAAGTCACTTTAATGAGGCACGGCCATTAGAAAAGCACCTGCAGTGCACGGCGGCGCACGTCAGGGCTTGCTGTGCTTTTTGAAGACAGCCTCTGTTCCGGTGCACCTCTAAACAATGAGCTGCTGAAGTCTGCCCGACTCAGACAGGTTGGCTCCTTCAAAATGGATTCAGGTATTCTTCTACTGTCCAGATATTTCTTTGGTTTGGTTACTTTAATACAGATAGCAGTGGAGTGATCAAATAAAGGACAAAACTATTTAATACTTACAGCCTTATATATTTTTATATATATAATAATCTCTCACTGAGAACAAGTGAGAACTGAAGAATTTTGTTCTTCCGTTTGAGAAAAGATATTTGGTTTAACACAAAGAACAGCTGCTCTTCTAAGCATCAAGTTTTGAATGTTTGAAGTCTCTGGGCAAATATTCAAGATGAATTTATTTATTTATTTAAACTCTTATTCTTTTTTTTTTACAAAATCCTAGTCCCGTAGAGGAACAGAACGTGCGTCTGCTTTGTGATGGTAACCACAGTGACAGAAAACAAGCCGCCAGTTTGACACATAATGAGCTCTGATGCTCTCAACTGATTAATGTGACGTTCTGAATCACATTAGTCTGCGCACGTTGAGATTCGACCAAAACGACAATAATTCAGTCATTTCTCAAAAATAACGATCTTAGTTGAGTTTTTAGCACAAATGGGGAGTTTTACGAACGCTAAGCTGTTAGTTGTAAACATTTCACTGCTTCTTGCATTAAACAGTTACAGTATATCTGTTTTAATTTGAACCTTTCCAAATCATTCTCATAATTAAGGTACGCTTCTCTTGCCTATGCTTTTTGGCACGTTCAGCAATTTCTGTGCCCTACTTTAGATAAATAATGTAATTGAATTTTTATGTATAATAATGTTTTTGTTCTGTTTTTTCATTCAACTTTATTTATTCAGGTTAATCCCATTGAGCCTCGGGGACTCTTTTACAAGAGAGACCTGATTTAAAAAAAGAGTGATGACAACAATGGACAATCATAAAGGATGCGAACAAATGGAGTTTTTTTTAACAAGTGAAAATAAAATGGTATTTGAAATAAAATGTAACCAGAAACAGCTAGGTTGTAAGGCGGTGTAGAAAACTAAAAACAGGAACATGTCTGCATTGGTTCTTGCAGGAACTTTACAGATGTTTGAAGCCACTTAGAGAGGTCAAAGGTCGAGAGCGCCCTGAGCTACAAACAAGAGTTAAACCATGTCATCTGGACGGTTTGATTTAAGCCTTTCTTTATGATGTATCTACCTGGATGATTGAGCTTTTAAACATTTATTTTCCCCTGAGATGACTTCTGTTGTGCCTTATACAGTAGTATACAGTAATATAACAATATAAACTGAACTGAATTGAATTATTGTGTTATTTCAACAGTTCGTGTATCAAAAGTTCAGCTCGTTCAGAAAAACTGATAAATTCTCAAATCAAAATTATCTGGACTCATTGACTTTTGGTATTTGTGCAATTTTTACTTTTGAAATATTTAGCGTTGTCAGCCATGTTTTCCTCACTGAAAATGAATGGAGCTCTCTTCACACCCTTTAAGCCCGTTTACTGAGCATTTGGGCTGTAGTGAGAAAATCTGGCTCAGACATTGACTGGTCAAACTTTCAACAGATGAGGAATAAATGCACAACTTCCATCAAAGCTGCAAAACGCAACTATTTCTCATCTCAGACCTCCAAAAATCTAAATGACCCCAACAGATTCTGGAAAACCATCAAATCTCTTTCAGGCACCCCCCAATCATCTGACCTCCCATCACAACTTCTCATTAACTCTGTTCCTGTGTCAAATCAGCACGAGATCCTGAACTGTTTCAACAAACATTTTGTTGCTTCTGGTTCTTTATTTGACACAGTTACTAATGGAAGATCAGCCACTTCACTTAATAACCAAACTTCTACAAATCAAATCCCTCCTACAAGTCAATCCTCAGTTAATCACACCTTCTCTTTTTCTCCATTCTCAGTCAGTGAGGTCAATAAACTGTTAAAAGATCTTGACCCTAAAAAATCTGCAGGTCCAGATGAACCTGTTGTTACAAGCAAACTCATATGAGGAAAAGCTACGTGAAGGAGGGATTAAGTACGAAGCACTGTGTTCAGACAATGATGTTCTGCAACAACGGTTGCAGCTCACATCACAATCTCTGGACGAGTGCATTTTGGAAAAAGCGGCGTTAGTCCAACAAGGCGTGCGTTTACAAAGTGAGTGTCATACATCAGGTAAACGCTTAGCAGCCTGTGAGGCAAAACTTGCCCCAGCCACAAATAAAATTTCTGATGAGGGGCAAGGATGTCTGGAACTCAAAGACGAACTGGGTCAGAGTCCAGGTCAACCACCACCACCTCAGAAGGATTTTGCTGTACCTCCTACACATAATTCCCTTCTGCCACCTCCACATGAGTCTGGTGACTCACCTCCACGTGATTATTTTGTTCCAACAACACCAATTCCTCAGCCTCTGCTCTCAATAGCGGAATTGCATAAAATTGCGAAGTATGTCTAATGCTTTGAGCCGGGGCCGTTGGGTTCGTCCGACACTAAGGCCTATCTGCACGACCTTGACTTCCACTTAAGAAGCTATCCCAACGCTACAGTTGAGGATGAAATAGGTTTGATCAGGCTCACTTCAGCCAGGACGGTGTTTTCCTTCATAGAGCGTCAACCTGATGCCACACGAAAGGATTGAGGATGAACAAATGTGCCAGAAGGGGGGCGCATGCCCTAAGGGTAAAAAGTATGGCACCAAAGGTGACCTATACAACCAGGTATCCCACTGGGAACCCCAGAGGAGGGGACCTGCTCCCCCTCCACGTCGCCCTGAACAGCCTGAGACAAAAAAGGAACAGCAGCGGGTCCAGAAAGAGAGCCCCAGACCTCTGAGCTCGGACGAGACAGAGAGTGTGCGTTGGTTCTTGGAAATGTTGAAAGGTGTTGCCACGGACAAACAACCTGATGCGTTGTGTGGCCATATCATTGCTGATGAGTCAGAACACACAAACAACACCATTACTGCTGTCACAGACAGTCACCATGACGTTGTTGTTGTAAACTCTGACACGCCCTCACCTGAAAAAGGGGGGGTACAATCACACGTCACCGACGGTGACCCGTCACAAACTGAAACCTCAGAAACAGCAACAGCTGTGCTAACGGTTCAGATAAATCGGGGTGACACAAACAACAACGTTGCTGCTGTCACGGACAGCCACCAGGACCTTGTTGTTACAAACAATGAGAGCCCCTCAACACACAGAGTGCGGGTGATCTCATACATCAATGACGGAGGCCCGTCAAAAACCGAACTCTCAGGAGCAGCAGCGACTGCACCAACGGTTCGGACAAACCGGGATTACACAGGCAAAGATAAACGTAAGAAGAAACGTCGGCCAAAACCTACAATGTTCCTGTGTAACCTGATCAGAAAGGGGGTCACTAAAAAAGCTTACCTGTCGATCACACTTGAAGGGGTCCTCACACATGAAGCCCTACTGGACGGTGGAGCCGACATAACTATTATGTCAGCCAAACTGTTCGAGGAGCTCAGGACCGCCGCTAACAGTGTTCACAGGGAAATACCTCTCATAGAACGTGCTATAGAACTAGGGCCTCGCAGAGACGAGGACAATCCTGACAGTTATAGCTATGGTTCACATGCAGGTTGGCGAGATGACACTATACCACACGGTGCATGTGTCTACGGTTGACTCATTCCCATTTTTGATTGGCCAGGATTTTATAAATCGCTTTGACGCGATTGTAGATTATGGTGAACAGACAATGTGGGCCAGAGTGAGCAAACCCCTGCCAATACTCATGCCTCCTGAGACAGTCACAGACTGCTCAACAGCAGGCACCGCAGAAGGCACCGAGGACCTCTCAGCAGAGAACACAGTCCCAGTAAGTAAGCCTTTAAAAGCATGTGAAACCAAAGAGACCCAACCGGTGAACCCAACTCTGACTGAACAAGAAAGCCTCCTCTGCGAGCTGAGACCGTCAGAGCCCACCAGATATTACCTACCGTTGGTAGTTAAAGGTGTAGAGATCCAAGGATCCCACACCGAAGATGTTGTACTGTCGCTGTGGACAGATAAATCAACTATTAACCAAGCTTTCTATGAAACATTGGTTAAGAAACATTTGGGTCCAGTTCTGATCGAGAAAGCTTTCCGCTTTCCATTGTATCCCAACAGTTCACGAGTGATGACTGCGAAAGGAGTCATTAACCTGAAACTGAGCTGGAACCAACGGGAACTGGTCCACCCATTCCTCGTGGTCCCAGACTTACCACATGCAACCTACATAGGCTCTGACATCTTGGTAAGATTAGGTGTCCGAGTGGACACCAGCCACAATGTACTGTGGTCACTAAAACCAGCCAAAAAGGATCCTCCTGTGCTAGACACAGCAAACCTTACGGCTGGACAGACCATTCCAGAGGTCTGCCAGGTTGCTACCAACCAAAATACCTCAGTACCATCTTAGGTAACAAACCTAATGGTACGAGTCCACATCGTGGCGGGACAAGCTATTAGCCTTAAACAGGCGTACTTTCAACCATCTCCTACGTTTTTCAAACTAGGACTGTCCATTGAGGCCACAAGCCAAGTGAGTCTCGACTCCAGAACCACATCTGTTGCTGTGTGCAACCCAGGCACAGAGGAGGTACTGATCCCGAGAAACACAAGGCTAGGATGGTTGATCTCCACAGATTTTCATGATTTTGAACTTGGCATTCCATTTCTGGGAGGACTCCCAGACAACCTGGTATCGAGTCAAGAGACTGGTCCAGTTTGGTCCACGAAACCAACACAGGCCATAGCTCTCTTCTCAACCAATGATGTCAATAAAGGACCTCAAACCTATAGTGTCTTACCTATAGACAGGTCTGATGACACAGAAAGGGACTCACTGGAGTTCCCCAAACATTAAGAACCCTTAGCAATCT